TAAGGAGTTACCTGAAAACAAACGAATCAATTGGTAAAAGGAATTGACTTTTGGCTCATATTGGAAAACGTCCAAGATTTTATAAAATCATGTACAATAAAACTGACTTCATTTACCGACCATTCATCTAGATATCAAAATAACTATGAAATGAAATGGGTTTAACACCCTACTGTTCTGCTCCGAATTGGGCTAATGAAGACGGGCATACGTCATACAGTGTGCTATGAGAGAAATTTGGCCCGGACAGCGGCACTACGGCCTACTCTTATATCGAATTCTAACTGTCAAGGGATCTTTTACGTGCACGCCAATGTGTACACGGGACCTCGGGTAATCGTCCCACCCGAACGGCTAGACAGATGTCCTTGTCAGGCCCTCCGTCCTGCATCACTGACAAAGGGGGGACCACGTCGGAAAATCTGGATGAACTTTCTCGACCAATGCAGGGATCAAACACCCGACCTCCAGGCTAGCTAGCCAGCGTCTTAGCCACCGCGACCACTCATAATAACTAATTACCTTTTCGGTCCAAATATAAGAATATTTAATCTAAATATAAGAAAAAGGATAACAATCTAAACCGGTATAGAAAGTAAATATTTGACAAACATAAAAATGGTTTATAGAGTATTCAAACAAGGGCATCGCTACCGCTGCAATATACGTCCACATTCCTGCTTTGATTGATATAGTATTTTTAAAATGAAGAGAATGAAATATGTAATGGGTGCAACGATGGTAATATGACAAGAGTTAAAGAAGTCTAGGTGTATAAGGAATACATATGTCAAGTTAAAAGATTACCCATTTAGAATTGCAGGCTGTAGACGATAAACACAAAAGATGGGCGTGACTCTGCCCCTGGGTGTTGGACATGGACCAATATAAATAGGTACAATTCTGTTATTGAAATGATTGATATGCTGAATTGTAAGTTAAAATGTTATCTTAACTTAAAATAGTGGCGTTTCACAAAACTATTTTAGAGACAATTGACTAAGACATTAACAAACATTGATTAGAGCTACGTTGTTAGATCTATTGCGAAATGGTAATATTGCCAATGGCCCCTGTCACATAATTTAAACATACTATCATTCACAAAAATAATTCTCATTCAATTTCTTTTCATTACTTGGGAAATATAGCTGCGGCCCACCCGTTTATTTTATTGTAAGGAAATATAAGCTATTAAATGACGCCCCAAATTAAAACCCCAAGAACACCCCACCCCTCTCCTCAAACCCACAGTAAACAAAACTTCGTGTTACTATTTTATATATTACCACGTGATTCAAGTATAAATTATACCGTTTTTAAATATTTAATAGACCAAAACCTAAAAATATCTACACTCACTTCATATCTAATGTCTATAAAAACAAAATATCTTTGTAGGCCTACAATTGATGATTTATATAGGAGCCAAGGGTATTTTAGATTGGGAAAAAATCATTTTAATTTAGTAAGACAGATAAGGAGTGTGGCACTTTGGCATTCTCAAAGTGCTATTGAGAGGGTCCATGGAACTGACATTTCAAATCAAATACTTTTAAAATTCGACAATAATTAAGTCTAGATTAATCGTTTGATTCAGAAATATCACATGTTTGTGACAATTCTCAATAGTTTCTGTTATCCAAAATACCATAAAACTACGAAATTCAAGCGATTTAGTTTATCGATACGCATTATTTCCATTGAAGCCTGCGGGTAAATCAAACGCCTAGATCACGAACGCGACATACAAGTTCAAGGCCAACCCACTGATACATTTCAAAACGAATAATACGCAATGAACTGTTTTATTTCATCTCTCTACGACTGTCTGACCATGTGCAGACATTGCTACAACGTATGAAACTCTCCTCATTGGTATTATAACGGTTAGTTCATTTTGGCAACAGTTTTCTGTTCCGAATCGTTTATGCCCACACCCTAAGCAAGCAATTTTAACTAAAATCTATTAAAATCGATCTTCGTGAAACGCTTAAAATATAAAATTTCATTTTGATTTTAGTTAAAAATCTATTTTAGTGATTTTAGTTTAAATTTTTGTGACACAGGGCCCTGGACTTGAATAATCAGACAATGTTGATTCCCAGACGACCATTTGATTCTCTCAAAAGGCCATGATGTACTGGTTTCAAGAGTCTAGCCACACTGGTTAGACTTTACAGGAGTGGGGTTGAGAGACAGGTGTGTTAATTAAGTATTGTAATTTGGACTATTGTTTAACTGCTTTGACATAAAACGTATAGAAAAGATATTATTGTTCTTGTACATATTTGATTTGGATATCGTGATGACAGACCTAAAGCGCACGCATTAGACCAATCGACAGCCCATTAGTTGAATATGTCACCCACTTCCAGATTAAATAGTTGTAGAATACAGCTTTTGTGATATACAAGATGATTGTAGAAACGGCCAAAAGAAAGGACTCAAACTGCGGGATCAGAATATAAGGCTCATGTGATAGACATCTTTAACAATTTGACAAATTCGAAGTTACTAGGACACATTTCCTAAAGCTTAAAGGGAAGAACTAAATACAATATCGTTAGCCCAGGAGATAAATAGTCTTGATTCAAAATTTTGTAGTGTTCAAGAATGTCTGGACAACAAAGTTATTGGGAATATTTGGGGATAATTCCTAACAAAACGCTGATATGCAGGGTATGTGAATTATACCAAGATCTTTTCTGCTTATAATGAGAAAACTACTATCAAGACAGTTTCAATAGTACCGAGTATAAGAGTAGATATATATTTATGCAGTGAGGATTTGTCAGCCGATAGTGAATAAGACCATGTCAGATTCTCAAATCTTAAAACATCAAGAAATAAATAGTTTAATCGTTTGTCCAAGTTTAAATCATATAAAGCTGTGTAATTAAATTTTAAATAGGCGATCGCAGATGGCATTGATATTGAAACTTCGACTGGAGATTTGTTCATGTTTTTTTTTTTGATATCGGCTAATATGAGGCGAATTACATTTTATGTTCATACGTCTATAGGGGAAACTGATATAATGAAGTTTTATTTTTTTAAAGAAAGTTTTATCAGAATGCCACAAAGCACATTGTTAAAAAAACAATCATACACCGATATATGTATATGTTATTTGGGGCAGGTATAGTGACTACTTGTACATCACAGTAGACGCTTACTACCGGCCCACTTTCTATTCACTTCATTAAATTTATTATTCATTGTCTATTTCTTGCAATGTCTGTGTAGCTTGTTTGTCGTGTTCGCAGGTTTGTCTTATCAGGTTTGTTGGCATGTAGTGTGGTCCTCCTTCATTTTCTATTAAGCAATATACAGCTTGTGGTGCGGGTAGGGTTGAGGGCATCGGCCCATCTTCCCGCTATGCAGAGACTTGGTTTATTCCAGTGATCTCTATACGAGTTTGTTGAAATTTGGTTTACCCTTGTTTTGGTTGCCAAAGCTGATATGGATAGGACTAACGATGGTTGCTGATTTCTGACCCATTCAATTATGGTAATTTATTCCAAAATAGGCATGGCCACTAATAATCAAATTAACACAGCACAGTTACCCATGGGAAAAACGTGTCGCTCACGTGAAAATAAGATGCCTTTTCATTAAAGAAAATTAGCCTTACATGTTTTTTAATGCTATAATATGCAAAATATCGAATATTCGGTTCCACGAGAAGTCTGATTTAATCCTGTTTAATCAGTACGAGAGTCGAGACATTTTATTTGTTATTTCCACTAGTTGAGAATTTGTGTTGTTTTAGATGCTAACAATTAAGTTTTTAGTTAGGACATTTTATAGACAGATACGTTGTTGAATTTAGTACAATTCTATTTCAAAATCATCTTAAAATAAATTATTTATAAACCTTGTTTCTAACCGTGTACAACAATATACATCATAGTTTGATTTCATAGAAATCAAATACGAGCTGGACCCAGAAATATTTTATTTTATCAGTTACAAAACTAATATACTAGACATACAAGATGACGTTCTCGTGTTCTCGTATACGCATTGGAAGCGTGTCCAATTCATTATACTTAGTAGCATTAAATAAAGAAATATATGTGAAAGTGTGTCCATTGATTTTATATCCGTATACACAATGGACATAAAAAAATATAGCAAAATCAGTAATTTTACTTATGCTGAAGAATAAATCATGTAAAATCCATAAGTTGACATACATATTTAAATATATTCAAGGCATGATCAATCATCTGGATTAGTTTCTCTGGAGTATTGATTATTAATTAAAAATCAATATATAGCAGTGGTAGTCTTTGTTTTCTTTCATGTTATATTGAATTAAGCATTATTATAACACTTTTGGTCTCGTGACCATCACAACCAAACAAATAGGATGAAATGTTACCTTATCCAGACCCCCCCCCCCCATCCACATGTTTTATCGGTCCAAATTTGATGAAAATTTTGAAATAGAAATCGGGTTCCCTAAATTTGTACACATTTTTCAGTTTTACAGATAATGGAAATGAATTCGAACTAATGGCAAGTTCACGGTGTTATTTCAAATATAATTTGAAGAATATGGCGGTCTTCTATATTGGTCGTAACAATATCAGCGAGAGATGGGTATATTACGTGACAGTTTTACCTGTTGAGATCTGCCCTTTGTTTCCTTGTGCAAAAACCCGAACTCGCCGCAATGATGAGTTGCATATTTGATCTACATGGTTTGTTTTGGGGTGTGATCAGATTATAGACATTATTATTCATCTTGGAAAAAGATTTAAATAAATTATCCTTGCAACAGTGTTCTAATATAATCGAAATTAATGTATTGTTAAGACCAAATACGCCCGACGGTGTCATTTCACGAATGTGATCTCGTATGATAATTATACCAGACGTGACAATGTATAGCTGTCTGATAAAGGAGATACCATTTAAAACAAAGCAATACATTTATGTTTGTGAAACCTCATAAGCACCATCTGATATATAAACATATTTAAACTTACCCGATGCGGTTATTACAGCAACCGTCATAAGGATAAACCATTCGGCAGTCGCCATTTTTAATATATGTAACAATCTCTTTATTACAGGTGACTATAGCTATGCACACAACGCCGCCAATGTTAAACCGTGTTCACAAATACGTTACGCTTGTGTGCTTTCTGATAAAGACCCGTCAATAAATTGTGATTTGTGAAATTTAAAAATAATAACAATAGTTCGCAGAAAGTTTGTGAAATAAATCTTAGATCCTTTTAAATACGAAAAATTGTACTTTTTTTAAGTGTCGTTGTAAATAACAAATGCTTGTTCATACTATGCAATAAACTCCAGTTTTAATGGTGTGGAAAGAAAATGTTCACTGCATGCACCCAGTAACATAACATCTGATATCCGGCCATATAATGTTATTTGATGTGATGTCATTATTCTTATATTATGCTCTTTTAGATTATTGGATACCTGCACTATATAGTCCCCAAATGACCTAGTTGTGTCGAGTGGACATTAAACCCCATTTCTCTATCTCTCGCTACCTGCACTATAGCTACATAAATTAACATGTAATACACATTTTACTTGGTAGTCATAGTAATCCCATCATCAGTATACTACATAATTATATTTTCATTTCCCCAATTCTGAAGACTACATAAAACACACACCAAGAAATCAGTTAATATGAAGTATAAAGTATGATACTGTATTACAGTTCTTAAATTACATCACAAAATTCATTGATCAGGGCCCGGTTCCACAAAAACTCAAATCTCCGTAAAATTGACTTAAACTAAAATTCCATCCTATCTTAAGATAGATGCGTTTCACAAAACGATTTTAAGCATTTAGATAAAATCCACTAAAATAATATTTTAAGTTAAAATTTTATCTTAAATTAACACTAAAATATTTTAGGGACAATTTTAAGTAAAATCAATTTAACTTAGGACAGCCGTCACCCTCTCCTAACTTAAAATCACGACATTAACAAACATTGATTAGAGCTACGTTGTTAGGTATATTGCGACATATAGATATATTTGCAAAAAGGATACTATTGCCAATGGCCCGGGTCACATACTTTTAACATAACCTACAAAAATAATTTTCATTCAATTTCTTTACATTGCATGGGAAATATAGCTGCGCCCACCCGTTTATTTTATTGTAAGGCAATATAAGCAATTAAATGACGCCCCAAAATAAAACGCCAAGAACAAAAAAAAAACAAAAAAAAAAAACGTTTTGTTACTATTTTATATATTACCATATGATTCAAGTATAAATTAGACCATTTTCAAATAATTAATGGACAAACAAAAAATAATAAAAAAAATCTGAACCCACTTCGTTTCTAATGGCTATGTTTGTAGGCCTACAATTGTTTAAAATTGCTATTTTCTTGGTATTAGAAGACCTACAGTCCTATAATACTAGACACGCCATATACAAAGTATTTACTCATATTTTTTTTTTCTGGTTATGATGATTTTTAAAAAGATTATCAATAATCTCAAATGTGTTTATTGAAAAATGTTTTAGGTCTATTTGAATAAAATTACATTTTAATATCGTGAATTTATTATTATTTCTAAATAAAGGCGTTCGTTAATAAACTGCGTAAATCAAAGAAGTTTAATATTGGAGCCAAGGGTATTTTTTATTGGGGAAAAATCATTTTAATTAAGTAAGATATATAGCCATTATCCAATAAAGTGTATAACACTTTGGCATTTTCAAAGTATACTGATGTCCAAAAGAAAGTATACACACTAAAAGTATGCTAAGTTTTGTTTAGATTAAAAACATTTGATAAAGCATTACTGAGTTTGTCTCTTGTGTCCAAACTCAACATTTCTAAGCAAAATAAAAATGTGAAACGAATTGACATTCTACCCAAATACCATGGAAAAACGACTTTGGTTGATGCAGCACAAAATGCACAGTGTATACTTTCTTTTGGACATCAGTATATTATTGAAAGGGTCCATTGGACTCACATTTCAAATCTAGGCTTACGCTTTTTCGTGGATTAGTTTAAAATTTGTTAAATACTTTTAAAATTCGACAATAATTTACAGTCTACATTAATCGTTTGAGTCAGAAATATCACATGTTTGTGACAATTCTCAATAGTTTCTGTTATCCAAAATACCACAAAACTACGAAATTCAAGCAATTTAGTTATCAAATGCCAAGGTCACGTAAACGACATACAAGTTCAAGGCCAACCCAACGATACATTTCTGACCATGTGCAGACATTGTTACAACGTAAATGTAAGCCAATTAAAAATAAAACGTTTGGCCACACTCCTCACATAATGCATGGCGATTATCTGAACAATAGAGAGGGTTTTGATTAAACATACATTATCAGCCTACTCTTCACTGAATTTAAACTAACAAGGATTTATTTACGTGCATGTTTAACGTTCTCCCGAAGAACTAAGAGAGAGAAAGAGATGGGGTTTAACGTCCACCCAACACAAGCAAGGTCATTTCGGGACTAACACATGGTTCAATTTTATTTCAATAATTTCAACCCACGAGGTTGGACAGGCAACGAAGAACTAAGACTCTAATCCGTGGTAATTTCCCTGTCCGCCATCAATAAGGGTAAACCGGCTGGAAATTCAACATCATTTTAACTATTCCTGAACATTTCATAAAAATCAATCAAGAGTTGAACTCTGTAGAGTAATGTACGTTTATCAGACAAGCAAGGCTATCTTTACTTTGACTCAGTGAGTAAGACGTTGGCTCGCTAACTGGGAGATCCCGAGATCGATCCCTGCGTTGTCCGAGAAAGTTCATTTTAAGATACAAATACGGCAACAAATGACGAAATAAAAATTAAGGACTGTGAATTAAGAACTAAGAATTAATAACGCTGAATAAAGAGCTGTTTGGTCTTCCAAAAGTATGTGGCTACCTGAAATGAAATGGGATTTAACGTCCTACTGTTCTGCTCCTAACCTGGGCTAATGAAGACGGGTATACGCCATACAGTGGGCTATGAGGGAAATTTTGCCCGAGCAGCGGCGCTACGGCCTACTCTTATATCGAATTCCAACTACCAAGGGGTCTTTTACGTGCACGCCAATGTGTACACTGGACCTCGGCTTTTCGTCCCATCCGAACTACTAGACAGCTGTCCTTGTCAGGCCCTCCATCCTGCATCACTGCCGGAAAATCTGAATGAACTTTCTCTGCCAATGCAGGGATCGAACACCCGACCTCCAGGCTAGCGAGCCAGCGTCTTACCCACTTAGCCACGTGATACCCATGCGGCTACCTGCCAATGTTACGACACAAAGGTGTATCAAAGTTTGGTAACATACACAAAATTACCACGACACTCTATAAGTACATGTGACATCATGCAGTTGGCATTAGATGTGACTTCCTGGTTCGCACATACATCAAACACGTGATTCTTAATAGACGCTTTTTAAACGCTATAAATAGGGGGTTGTGTTAAATATGAATTTTTAAGGGGCCCACTCCAAAAGTTGTAGATTTCATAAAACATTTTCTCTTTTCATAAAAAAAACTAGATATACATTATCCGTCAATATTACAGCACCCCCGAGAACACTTCCCACCCCCCTCGCTGCTCTGAGCTAGTTACGGCACTGCTTATCTACATATCTACCTATATTTGTGAGACCAACTAGGGCTGGTCAAAGTGGACGTTCTAAAAATGATGCAGCTGATACATGAAAAAGAATATACTAACTCTTTACACAAGATTCCAAAATCACACCCAAACGAGCCTGGCTAGGAAAAATGAAAATATAAAGAGAATGTTAAATTATATAACACTGAATCTTCTGTACTGTTTGATATGTATTGTGACGATACAGAGGTTAGAAAGTGCCCAGTAAATGTAACGGTAAATGTTAGACAGGTCGTTGAACACTGGGAAAATATCAACACGTATGAAATTTGTAGAAATAATGCCGCCATCTTGGATTTATGCAATTTTGGATTTTTAAAACTTAAATTTAACATCTGCAATGGATCCAGCGACCCCCAAAACCCTACTATAGAGTCAAGAAGAGGTTTACACAGAGAGAAATAATGACCCCCCCCCCCCCCACACACACACACACATTTTAACGGGGGGGGGGGGGTACTATGGGGTTAGGGGGTCAGAAAATAATAAAACAAATATGTTCATAAGTGGGTGGGTAGGGTAACTACAACATTTGAAGGGGGCCTCGAATTTGAACACAAACATTTGTAAAATAACACCACCCCCTACTATAAATCATTAAACTTGTGTACACTGTCCTTAATCCCAAATAGCGTCGGTGCAGAAAAGTGCGACATTAAACCCCACTCCATTTCTATGGCGGTATATTAGATTCAAAATTCTAACATGCTATCGTCTAATTTCTTACTTCTACTCATGTAATTTCTAACTTCCATTCATGTAATTTCTAATTTCTAACTTCCATTCATGTAATTTCTAACTTCCATTCATGTCATTTCTAGCTTCCATTCATGTAATTTCTAAATTAAGACAATGTATAATCCAACTTCTTTATTTGTTCAGTGTAAATTTTAATTCTGTTTCATCTTGTTTCTATTATTAAGGCGAAAAATGTCCACTTCATTGTCGCTTTACATGTTAAGTATGAACGGCAAACAAATTTAGAATTTTGATACTTCTACCTAGCAACCATCATTATGACGTCGTTTGGTGTCGCCATCGTGAGCACCTGATCGGGACCATTCTGTTGATATAAACGACTCGCTCTTCGTCCGGTTGAATGGTTTTACGGAGTGTTAAAATTGAAAACAACATAGAGAGAGAGAGAGAGAGAGAGAGAGAGAGAGAGAGGGGGATGGGGTTTAACGTCCACTCGACACAAACTAGGTCATTTCGGTATTAACATGGTTCAATTTTATTTCAATAATTTGCTTGCGTGTAGGGGTGTTAAGCAGTGGGAGGAAACCGGAGGACCCGGAGAAAAACCACGAGGTTGGACAGGCGACCCTACTCCTTGTCACGTACAACCGGGGAATCGAAACCACACCAGTTGACTCAATGACAGACCTTAAGATACAGCGCGCACGTGCTAACCATTCGGCCATCCAACCCCCAAA